TATATATATATATATATATATATATATATATATATATATATATATANATANATANATATATATATATATATATATATATATATATATANATATATACATATATAGATACATAGATACATAGATACATTGATATATTTGTAACATATATATATATATATATATATATTATAGAATACCTTATCCCTAACATCCAATACACCCATACACCATCGCACTTAGGATACTTCTACGCCTTCGGATTCATCGCCATGATGCCCCAGCTGTTTATCAATCATCGCCTGAAGTCAGTGGCGCATCTTCCGTGGCGAGCGCTATGTTACAAGGTAGGCATTCAAGTGAGACTGAACCACACAATTAGCCGATTACTTGAACAACTGGATATGTTATTGCAAAGTCATACTATACTATGTATCTAGAGCGGCTTGTTTTTAGGTAAACTTATTAGAGAGCCTGGGTGACTTAGTTACTTGACTACTTGACTTGAGCAACTTATTGTATCGATACAAAAGTTAATCATAAGTCCATATATGAATTAAGACTATCGTCCTTCCGCACGATCTTTTGATTGAAGTGCCGGTGTGTTTCTCTACAAGTGGTGGTCACCTGCTTCTAACCCTTTGTATTGCCAGTTACCAGTCATACGTATTCCTGTTCTTTCTCACTCGTGCCCCGGTACGCACTCAACACCCTTATAGACCACATATTACATATATCACGTATCTATAGTGGACTCCTTCCATACAATCCATACCCCAGGCGCATGACTATTCCAACCAGATATACAAGCCATGTGTTTCTATCTATTTCTAGCCATTTGTCCCTCCAGTCACACGTATTGCTATTCTGGCTGTCATCCCTACAGGCGTTCAACACCTTCATTGACGACATTTTTGCCTTTCTGATCCACATGCCCAATCTCCATCGCATGGCGTGTTTCAGAGACGATGGTAAGTACTGCTTATATATATATATAAATATATATATATATGGCCTTCCACTGATTATATACATGGGTGTATCCGGCGAATATATATTATTTCTATGTTATACTGTTTCTGGGACGATGGTAAGAACTGCGAACCTGGCCTTCCACTCATTTTTTTCCCGTTGTACTGTTTTTATTATTATTATACCAGTCATGACTCGAGATACAAATATTCTTTCAAACGCTGTAGGTAATTAAGCAACTAAGGTGCTGTACTTATCCAGGAGCTAGTTGTCCTATATGGGTGTCTATTTGTTTGTTAAACCTAGTTAACCTATAGCGGTTTCTACTTGAAGCTCGACTTCCGAGGTTTCAGCTGGTTATTCGCTCCCAAAGTCTCGGGGGTGCGCTCACAATCTCACTTGAATCATCCCGTCCCTTCTGAACTTTGTGGTGTAGATACTTTAAGTTCCAGCGTGCGTGCACATTGTAGCCCACTCGATTAACTTGTTGGCTTCTAAAGGTTTTGTGGTGGAGTTGTTTTGAGGATTAGTGTGGGGTCGTAAAGTGTGTATTTACATTCTGGGTCACGCAATCCTCTCCATAGTATCTAAGGTGACGGGTTACTGGGCTTCCTAGTTCGCACAGTCACGAATTTGTTCTCAAAAAGATGTTACGCTCTATCTGCCTCGATCCTGGCTTTAAATCTCGCCATACCCATCACTGTATTCTTGTGGCACCTTGACAGTCGATTGTTGCCGTTCACGTACACGCCATCTACTGACCTGTGTCACCAGTGTTCTATTTTTAGCGCCAGACACACCGAGCTGTATATAGCCTGGAGACCCCTATGATAAACCCTTACTCGTCCCTGTACTCACCAGATTGCTGTTCTCTCTCTATTCCCTCTGTTTCGCTGACACGGCCGGGCTGCGTTGAACTGGCCTGTTGTGTGCCTTGACGTGATGTGTATTGTTGTTGTGCTGTGAATGTACGCAATTGTGGCTCGGTATATCTTGGTTTCATATTACATCTCATATTACATCTTCGTTCGTTCTGTTCTGCAATTCGGCTGTGTATCTCTTGTTGATGCACTCTGGGTGGCTTTATCGTGACTGAATGTGTTTTTTCTTTATTGCTTATGCTTGGGTCTATACTGATTATTATTTCTTTGTCGATGTATCCTGGTTCCATTCATCGTGACTGGATGTTATATTGTAAATACGACTCGTGTTTTTGTCTCGTGTTGTGGCTATATATATATATCTATATGTATATATCCGTACTGCAGTTATCTTCTTCTGCTTCCTGTACCAACTGTACATCTATCCCGTGGACCCTACACGCGTTAACGAGTTTGGGATGTCACTCGAGCCAAGCGCCAGCGATGACGAGGATGACGGGGATGTAAGCGAGAAGGAACACGAGATAGCGGGAGTTGCCGATAAAAGTAGTTCACTTATATCTGAGAACTCCCAAAAGGAAACCAATGTTACCGATCACGGGAACAGCTTGAAACTTGAACTTCGGGATGGCGATCTGAGCGGAAGCGGCGATGCGAACGATACAAACACACATGCTGAAATAGGGGCTAAGAAAGAATTATAATATTTTGAAAGCGCTGAAACTATGAATTCCTAGATGGAAGGTCTGGGATGGGCGTAGTACGAAACTAGACCAGAGATAAAAAATATTTAAGGTGGAAAAGGGATATTGAGCGATGAGACAAACTGCATTGATAACAAATAAATTAAACACTCGCTCTCAAAGAGTCTTTGGTTGTTGGAATGCTGGGATGCTAAGAAGGAATTATTGTGCAGTAGAGATAACGCAAAAAACGAGAAAAAAATACGCGCTCTTAATGTTAGTCATTGTTAGAATATTAGGAGTCTCAGAAGGAATTATGATGTAATAGAAATAGAGCAATAAATGAGAATAGATTGAAGACAAAGAGAAAGAGGTAATACGCGCTCTGAATGTTAGTGATTGTCAGAATGTTAGGAGTCTCAGAAATAGAGCAATAAATGAGAATAGATTGAAGACAAAGAGAAAGAGGTAATACGCGCTTTGAATGTTAGTGATTGTTAGAATGTTCGGATACTCAGAAGGAATTATGATGTAATAGAAACAGAGC